TTGCCTATGTAGTTCGGTTTAGGGTTTAGGGTTTAGGGTTTAGGGTTTAGGGTTTAGGGTTTAGGGTTTAGGGTTTAGGGTTTAGGGTTTAGGGTTTAGGGTTTAGGGTTTAGGGTTTACGTTTAGGGTTTAGGGCTTAGGTTTTGGTGGTTGTTTTAAAAATATACTAAGGATCCTATAAGGTAGGTCCAAAAAAGGAACTACAATGGAGACTATAGGTATGATCTTAGGCTTTCGGATTCAAGGATTAAGCTTTAGGATTTAGGGTTTAGGGTTTAGGCTTCAAGGGTTAAGGTTTAGGGTTTAAGGTGTGCACCCTTAACCCAAAACCCAACACCTTTCATATTTGCACCTTACCTGAGCCCTTTAAAAGCTACCCATTTAAGGATCCTTACTATGATTTCTTTATATAGGTCCTCAAAGAGGTAGGTGATTTGGCGTCAGGGTAGGTCCTAAGGTTCGGTATTTATTTTTCGGGTCTCCGTCTCAGTGCTTAGCATAGGGGACTTAATCAATAAAACAAGTTTTTTTTATTACAGGGCTCCCACAAGGGATCTGAAGGGATTCTAAAAAATGATTTGTGGTTATAAAAGGGCCTACATGATCCAATCAGGGGCTAGGAGTAAGCTTATGGTAGTAGTATAGGCTGGGGCTAGAAAGGAACACCGTGACCAACGGCCCCTGTGTCAGAGTTGCGGATTGTTGGGCATTGGGTCTAGGGCTCTGGAGTTTACCTGGGCCCTATAAAACCTACCTGCTTTTAGGGATCCTCATTATGATTTCTTTATATAAGTCCTTAAAAAAGTAGGGTATTTGGGGTTAAAGTGGGGCTTGAGGTTTAGGGTTTTCCGGCCTCTACTCTGCCTCTAAGTCCAAGCCAGTACTCCGCCAGCTCGGGAGCCCCTTCATAAAGGGAATCTAGGGTTCAGGGTTCAGGGTTCAGGGTTAGGGTTTAAGTTTAGGGTTTGGGGTTTAGGGTTCAGGGTTTAGGGTTCAGGGATCAGGGTTTGGGGTTTAGGGTTTGGGGTTTAGGGTTTAGTTTGTAGCAAGGACAAGGCAGGGTTTCTTCCTAAGAAGTCGAGTCGGTAACCACGCTCGCTCTTGTGCAAGAAGAGACCACGCCACCAGGTCAGATTGGAACCTCGTCTTCCTCAAGAGGAGGACACGTGTCCTTGCAGAGGGTTGCACAAAACAGCATAAACCCTAAACCCTAAACCCTACACCCTAAACCCTGAACCCTGAACCCTGAACCCTAAACCCTAAACCCTAAAGCCTAAGTCCAGCGGCACGCGCCACACTGCTTTGCAGATTCCGACCGTCCCCCGAAGTGTCTTAGGAGTAAAGCTGTGTACTCCACCTGGACATGACCGGCCTTGAGACCGGTTCGCTTCTGTTTTTAGGGTTTAGGGTTTAGGGTTTAGGGGTTTAGGGTTTAGGGTTTAGGACTGTGCTCATGTTCAAACATCCTGAGCAAAAACGCCAATCTCGCTGTGACCACAATGAGGCTGACACCGCATTGAAGGTTATTCCATCATTCAGGAGTAATGGGCCCTCTGAATGCACCCCTATGGAATAAAACCTAAACCCTAAACCCTAACCTTGGAAATTATTGCTATCATTGCGGCGATGCAATTCACGGCAGGGAAGGTCAGGAAACCCTCCTGTATGATGAGCAAACTCTCAATCTTAGTCTGCATACTAAACCCTAAACCCTAAACCCTAAACCCTCTGTCTGCACAACTAGCACCTGGGGATCCAAAAACCCACCGTTTTATGGGTTCTACCCTCTAATTAAGGGGTCATAACCTACTGTTTTGTAGGGGTTGGGGGTCACAGGTAATGTGTGATTCCTTCCTGCTACGCTTTACTGGCGTGGGAACAATGACCCCTGTCGCCCCTGCTATACTCCAGCACATTACTGCGCAAATGGCTCCTTGGTGTGAACTTCAGAATTGACCGCAGACCCCCCAAAAGCACAGTTGCAGGCCTTTCCGGTGTAAACTACGATTAAGCCCTAACCCTTACAGGACCTCCATAGGTCCCTGAAGCCAGCCCCCTCATCCGAGGTGCAAGGGTGTGCGCTGATTCCTGGCCATGTGTTTCAGGTTTCAGATCCTGGTTCACGTTTTAGGGCCGGCCAGGGTTTAGAGTTTAGGGTTTAGGGGTTATGGTTTAGGGTTCAGGGTTTAGAGTTTAGGGTTTAGGGGTTAGGGTTTAGGGTTTAGGGTTTAGGGGTTCGGGTTTAAGGTTGAGGGTGTAGGGTTTAACTATTGCCCGAGTTCCCTAGTTGCCCCGTGTTTCCATACGGGAACCCAAAAAGAAGTTGGGCAAAAGGGTACTACTGGGGAACCTAGTTTCTGATTGAGACAATCCATATCGTTTAAAGGCTTAGCCGACATCAAGGGGCCTCTGGGTAANNTAAAGGCTTAGGGTTTAGGGTTGTTGCATTACCTGAACTACTGGATTTATTGGAGTATTCATGCCGTGTACAATGCAGGGTTTTGTCATTCAGCAGTACACCGGTGCTCTGGTCATCTGCTCTGCTTGTGCTTGATTGCATTCCGGTTTTGATCGCTACGAGCCATGCGGAAGCTTCAGAAACATGGAGCCGAATAGAGGACCGAAAGACGAATACTACACCTCATATGGTGACACGGCTTAAGACTTCGCTCGGTTGAAACATAATGATTAGACATTCCGGGAGGTGGCATTGTCCTTCGACCCTAAACCACTGATTGGTTATATATTGACCAATACTCCCATAGAGACTTACTACGCACACCACCAAAATCTCAAACCCAGTTCCCTAAACCCTGATAGATACCTCTAGGAGATCGGCTCCTCCAAAGGAATCCGAAACCCTAAACCCTAA